ATGACAAGGCGTCGTCCATCTCTGACAGGCTCCAAAGGATAGCGGGTGCGCGTTTTAGTATCAACGGCGTCGGTTTCACTATTTAAGACCGCTGTTTTTTATTTAACGGTCGGAGAATTTAAAAATGCCATGAGCGTTGAGATAAGAATCCACACAAAAGGGATTAAAACTGCAAATAGTCAAAGCTTAATGATGATTAGACGGTAACGAATATTTTTGGCAACAGAGATCCACTGCCGTAGATGCTTGGTTATAAATACATATTTATGACCAAAGAAAGTCTTTGCCTAAAATCATGGTAATATCGATTTTGACTATGTAATGCTCAATTCCGAAGAATAAAATCCAGGTACGTTTAGTTTACAAAAAGCAGAAAGATGAAATCGTGAAATTAGTTGGCAATATGAACGAAAACCACAGGATCCAGACAGTCTGTTCCGAGGCCACTTAGGAGTTGAAGGGTGGGTTTAGTAATTAAGCTTTTCTTTGGATTATAAGTTTGATATATTTTTGTAGAACATATATTGATATTTTTATTGAACATCTTCGCCCGCTTTTGCTTATTTTTCTTCAAATAACAATAACGCACTATATATATATATATATATATATATATATATATATATATAAAATATAAAAACATTGAAGTCAACACTCCGAGGCGACAGGCTGTTTCATGCTAGACGCAATCGTCAGAGCGGCCTGACGATTTTGTCTAGTATGAAACAGCCTGTCACCTCTGAGTGTTGACTTCAATGTTAACTTTTTTATATTTATATTTACATACGCTCTATCTCTGAAATTGAGCACTTTATTCCATACATATAGCACACCTTAAAACTATACTCCATCATATATATATATATATATATATATATATATGTGTGTGTGTGTGTGTGTGTGTGTGTGTGTGTGTGTCTTGGAAGATTGCACCTCAGATAAAAATGTTAATGCGTATGTTGATTTTTCAACAACGACGATCTTGGTTCAATCTCAGAACATTAAGAAAGAACACCACTCATGCCCACATTCACAGTTCAGACAGATATTAGTCGAAAAAACATTAGTACTTCATCATAATAGTAAACTTAAAATTCTGGGATCCCTTTATATAAGAAAATTTTATTCATAGTAATTGAAACCTTAAAACATGCCATTTAAGAAATAATGATGGAATTTTCATTTTTTAAAAATTACGTCTTGTAGATGGCGTCCTCCTGTACGAATGCATTCTTGAAATCTACTGTTGAGATTTCTCATTGACTGCTGCAACATCTCAGCTGGGACACTGTGAATTTCATCTTGAATTCTAAATGGCAAAATGTTTACTTGCTCAAGGTCACTGTCTTGCAGTGTTGCCACTTGCTCATGTCTGGCAATACACACTTCAAAAAATTATCGCTTTTTGGGGTCAACCTATATATATATATATATATATATATATATATATATATATATATATATATATAGTGGACACTGTTGCCGCTCGGTGCTAGACTCAAAGTTGACTTTTATATTTGCACGCTGTCTATTCCGGAAATTGAGAACTTTTTACCCATAAATATATCATTCCTTATAACTACATGTTTATCATATATATATATATATATATATATATATATATATATATATATATATATATGTAGAAGGAAAGCCTAATAATGCCTCACCCCTGATTTCGATGGGCTGACACCTTGTCCGAATGCCAGACACATTGTCCCAAACAAATCCTTTTCTCAGAGCTCTCATCTGACAAGAGACCACATGAAACACCACATCGTCGATTCAAGGATGAGCTCGAAAAAAAACCTTGCTGTGAACAGAAATCGATCCGGTCAATTTGGAGACGGAAGCTGCAGAAAGAACCAGTTGGAGAAGAGAAGTCCACGAAAAAAAAAATAACAACATCCTTCGAAAACACGAGAAGACTAATAGAAGAGACAAAGATAACACGGCGTCTCTTCAAATTCAACATTGGACTTATTTCACACAGCAGGAAATGTCGATGAGCAACCCAATAGTCGCCAACGACGACGGCACATATACCTAAACAGTATTTATAGTGAGAAAATAATTTTACGAGTCAAAGAATGCGTGTGTTATATCTAATATAGATAACAGAGTAATATGACCTCAACAGCACACGTTTTAATAGATCAAATAATATACAATAGAGATTGTTCTTTTTCACTTGGAATCTGAGGAGCCGGAAAACTTTTCTACTTCTTTTTAACACTTATAATTTATTGAGTATATATATATATATATATATATATATATATATATATATATATATATATATATGATCGGAATAAAAGTATAAAATTTAATATTACAAGACATATTAAAACAATATTAAATAATAAAAAAAAAACTCAACAACAAGGGGTGGGGATGCAACTGGTTTCGCTCCTGCTTTTCATGCTTCCAAGGGAGATTCAAAATTAAAACAGAGAAATGTACAATAAGAATAGGTGGAATATATATATATATATATATA